CACACACACACACACACACACACACACAAATTAGTAAATTAAAATCTTTCTTCTCAAAAAGCATTTGTACAAGTAAGAATGACCACAGTGGAGAAACAACACTGGCTTAACTCAGTTTTATAATCACTTAGACACTTTGGAACTTTAAGTAATTATCTACAAAATTACTTGGGGCTGCAAATGTAGCTCACTAGACAGAGCAATGGCTTTGTAGATGCAAAGCCCTGGGTTCAATCCCTAGCAACTCACAATGAACTGCTCCATCTCCTGATGTCAGTCTAGGCCCTTAATAGGTCCACCAGTAAGCTCTTCCTTGGCAATCCTGTTCTGCATAATAGCCTCCACCTCCACATGATGCCTCCCTGCAAAGATCAGTCTCTGAGCTCTGGACGCACATGCACGAGGCACCTGAGTATCTTCAGATAACCCACCCAAGCATTTCAGTAACAGCTACAAACAGCCAAGCCCAAACTGAAACAGTTTCCCACATAAACATGGTTCCTCTTTTCAGCTTCCCTGTTTTGGTTGATGGTCCCACCCACACTGAAAACCTCATGAGTATCTTAGGCTGCTCAATACCCACCTCAACAAACCTTGTGAAGTCTCCTGCTGGCATGTGCTCACACCCACACTCTCCATTTCATTCTTGTTATCTCTTCACTTTGCCTCAGACTCCCATTGCTTTCTGAACAACTGTTCCTCTGTTCCTATTCTCCTCCACATTTGCCCTCCCGCTGCTATCAAATAATAATCTCCCTAAAACAAGGGCCACACACTTGGAAGCCAGCAAAAGAATGTGAACGAAGTGATGCAAGAGTTTGTATAATAAACACAAGGAAATCATTCACTTCCACCGAGGAATATGTTCCCTCTCAGCCCAGCACCCTGTTTACTAATTTAAGGGTGTTGGTACAGAAAACCATTTCTAAGCTGCAACAAATGAAAAACAACAGTGAAAGAACATGGCAAAGGACACTCAGCCACACTAAAGGAGAGGAACCAGCGAGTAGTGAAAACAAAGCAAATCGTACAGTCTTTTTAAAAGTCTGCCAAAACAGGCTGGGATTATGGTGGGCCCTTCCACGTGGGCTCCTCCTAGTGGACCCATGCCCAAATAAACTAGTCTTAAACCATTGCCACAGGTAGGTACCCGTGGGCTGTGAGCACTGAAGAAGGCTGTGCAGTTTATAACAATATAACAGCTTTAGTGGCTGATTAGACCAGATTTAAAAAAAAAAAAAGTCTGCAAGAAATGGCTAAGTTACTATTGCCAAATCTTTAGCATCTGCAGAGATAACCCACGAATCTGAATTTGGTTACTCGGTTTCTCTTGCTCAAAAATAAATGAATAATCAAGCTGATAAGTTGGTAACTTACAACCCCTCAACATCTCTATTAAGCCTTTCCTTATAGACTCTGGTTCACAAATTAAAATCCTAGATAATTTCTGGGGGTGGGGCCTGTGAGAAGGCTCACCTGGTAAAGGCCCTGGCTATGAAGCCTGCAGTTCTGAGGGTAGGAGATAACCAGCCCTCACAAGCAGTCGTGTGACCTTTGAGTGTGTGTATACACACAAATACACACAAACACAAAGTAAGTGTGATTTTAAAAAAATTCTGGAGAAGCAAAACCATGTAAGTTCTTACGACGGTGCACATGGCCCGGACTCCACTCTCTGACTCTACCTCATACACAGACAGAGTGCAGGCACACTGATCTGAATCTGTGTCCCAAGAGCGGATCACCAAGTCTTCACACTAACATACTGGCCTAATCAAATTGCTTGCTGATCCCAACTCTTTTACTAATTGTATCTCTCCCCCGTTTCCATTTCCTTCACGATCATGTTTAAAACACACCTCCCCTAGGCAGGCACTTCTTGACTAATAGTGAGGAATTTTTGATGTTAGCCGTCGTTACTACATTAGAAGAGGCCTGCGATTTGTGTTTCTAAAGTGGGTCCTGAGCTTCCCTAGGGAAAGAAGGGGTGGGGCTCTTTCCCTCCCATTCAAACCACTAACAGGCGCCTCTAAAGCAAGCTCAGGTTTCTGCAGAGAAAACGCAACTGCACGACCGACCGGGCTCAGCCAGGATGGCGTCTCACCTGTCAGCTCCCCAGTCAAGTATGTGGCCATTTTGGAGAACATGTCTCGGCAGAGCTCATTGATGTCAGCTTCGGCAGGCTCCTTTGCTTCCTCGGCTGTCTCCACCGCAGCATCGTCTGGTCGAGGGAGTGAAGGAGGGCGGAGTGGGAGTGAATGAGTGAGTGAGTGAGTGAGTGAGTGTGTGTGTGTGTGTGTGTGTGTGTGTGTGTGTGTGCAAATGTTCTACACCCAGATCTAACCCAGCCAAAGCCGCCTCCTCCTACGCCCCTCCCGACCTGCGCTCCTGCGGTCCAGCCGCCTTCGCTCCCCACCGGCCGTGATCTCAAGCCCCCGACTCGCACTCGCCCACCTGAATCGCCAACTCCATTCCCTTGCTCAGGGGGCCAGACCTTCATCTCAGTGCCCCGACGAGGCCGAGAGGTGCACCCGCGCCTGCATCCGGACCCAGCCCCCCACTAGCCGCTGCATCTCCATCCACGCCGGGCAGTACCTCTAGCCGGCTCCTCGCGTCGCGTCGCAGGGACGCCCTCCGCAGCCGCCGCCATGCCCGGCCCAACCCCGCTTCCGGCTCTGGAGCGTCTGCGCGTGCGCACGGCGAGCGCCCCGCCCCGCCTGGCTCCGCCCCGCCCCACCGCGCGCTCGCACCCTCCCGGCTTTGCTCATCTTGACTGAGTCACCCCTCAAATAATGACCTTTTATCAAAGGGCCAAGCATGAAGGCGAAACTGAAGCTAAGCCAGGCCATTGTGAATCAACCCGCTGGTGAGAATCCCAGTACCTGGTGTTGAAGATGCGTTCGTTTCTGCGGCCATACCCCAGAACTGTCACCTGGCTTCAGCCTGTCTTGGTGGTGGCCCCACAGTGGACCCATAATTTGTCAGCTGGAGTTATTGAAAACACGTGCCTCCTCCCAAGACTCTAGCACCCTGACGTGTTTCACTCACCAAAGAACGGCCCGGGGAATATCCATGCTTTTGCAAGTTGTCTCCCACAAGCTTTCAGCCTTGACTCTTGATCCTAAATATTCTCTCCTTCCCCCTTCCCACAAGCCTTGGATGAATATCAACTCTCTGACTCGTGTTTCTTAAACTGCAAGCTAGCTCCTAATGCGGTGTAATTGAAAGCGCCTTTCTTGAAGGAAGTGTTCGTCATAGTTGACACATTGGTTCTCTTGATTGTATTGAGTTGTTGCTCCAGTCTCTTAGGTTTATGGAATCCTCAACAGGGTGTGAGAACAAGCATGAGTGAAGGGTTTGAATGAGGAGATGTACTGAGGAGCCATGGGAGGTGCAGGAGAATGGGCTCGCAGGAGAGGGAGAAGCGGCATGAGTTTTCAGGGTGCAGGCTCCTGAGCATCCGAAATCTTGGTGTAAGAGTTTCTTCCCTTATTTTTAGTAATCCTCCACCCACTCATGCGCGCGAGCACGCGTGCGCGACACACACACACACACACACACACACACACACACACACACACACCACAGATACCCCTACCCCAGCCTTCCTAACCTGACTATCTCCTCTGCAGGACTCATTCTCCCTAGGTGCTGCATCTCCTCTCTTTTCTGTAGTAATCATGGTATCTTCCATTTCAAGTATTCCTATGAGCCAGGGCTTCTTACTTCAAGACTCCTGGGACAGGCAAACTCCTTGACATTGATTGGCTCCCACTCCTGTACCTTCCAGAGGGTGCACTCGAGTAGCTTATGTTTCTATCCCCGTCTTCTCTATAACCCCAGAAGCAAATGCAAAGACCTGTTCTCTAAAGAGTTTTATTGATAGTCACCTTGGAACCCCACATTATCCTATGATGAACAGAGTCAGAGACCACCACATAATATTAGTCCAAAGATCAATGAACCCTGACGTCACTTCCATCCCTGAACCTTGATGTCACTTCCTTCCCTGAACCCTGACATCACTTCCTTCCCTTACTCCCTTTGGGTTCTGTTTCCAGGTTTGAAGTCCTCTTGGTTGGTGCTATGTGTTCAGTGGAACATCAGAATCGGAGGGTGGGCTCCTCCAGCAGAGTCCACATTGACTTCACCTTTGAGGGTGTCCCTCTTAGCTCCTCTGTAGGAATCTCACCACACAAGAGTCTACTTTCCCCCAGGGCTTCCTTTCCTCTCTTACAGGGAAACTCCCTGGGGGAGAGAAAACCCCCTCCACACACCCATGCGTGCCAATGGCAGATCTCTAGACACACACAGGAGAAGAGTATGATTTACTGCAAAGTAGGGAGACATATCCATCATCTACTCTTGGGGCTTCTACCTTTTGACCAATCATGGCTGACCGAGTTCTTTAGGAGAGTCATTGCCATCTCTTCCTTTTTGTTTTATATTGATGTTAATCACTACAGCAGAAGTCAATGCACAGCAAGTGAGAAGCCAGGTAGGAAATGCTACTTTTCAGAGCTCTGTGACTACATACAGAAACACCAAGGGCCAAGCCTATACATGCTGCCCAGTTACACACAAAAACATTGGCTTAAAAGGACAGATACAGGGTAGGACTCCACAGCAGCTGTCATGAGACATGATGCCCTAGAAGTTGGGGGTACATGGAGAAGAGGCTTCTGGGAAGGCATAGAGAGAGAACTTGCTGTCTGATGTTTGGGGATCTCTTCCATTCTCCTGCCCACCCTGGACTCCCAAGGGGGTTGAAATGACAGCTAGGACTGTTACAGGTTCTTCCAAACAGCTAGCTCCTCCTGTTGGAAGAAAAAGGAATAGCTCATTTGAAGGAGTAATTAATTTTTCTCTGAATCTAATTACAGAGAATCTAGATTGCTATAGACTAATGTCTGTGTCTCCCCAAAGTCTTGTGCTGACATGATCAATCCCCAGTGTGACAGTACTAGGAAATGAGGGCTTTGCTGGGTGATGAGGTCATGACTGTGGAACCCTTATAAAGGGGATTAGTGCCCTTTTTTTCTTGCCACTGTATGAGAACACATCAAGAATTGAGCAGTCCATGAAGCAAGAAAGAGGCTTTCACAGGGTTCTGAAGCTGCTGGTACCTTGTCTTAGACTCCTCCCACCCTACCAAACTGTGAAAAGTGCATTTCTGTTGTTTATAAGCAATCTAATCTTTGCTGGTTTATTATAACAACTCGAAAAAACTAAAACAAAGGCCCTCCTCAAAGGTCAAGGAAATCTATAGGCTGACTTAAGCAACTTTCTGGGCCTGCCCTCCACCTCCGCTGATCTATGGCCATTGTGAGCATTGCTCCCTAGGTCTTTCTAGAATGTCCCCCCTAACTGAGTGGGAAATAAGATGGGTTCCAGCTGTAAAGAACTCAGAGGATGCAGCGGAAGGGTACTCACCATTCCTGGGGAGGGAGCCAGGTCCCCTTTCCCCTCCAGCATTTTCAGCTTTGACCCCACAGCATCAACCCGGGACACAATTCCTTCCAGAACACTCTCCACCTGCAGAACTCTCCTTGTGAGCCTGTGTAGAATTTGAGAGAGACAAAGGAAGCAGAAATATGTGTCTGGATATGCGCAGGGGCATGTATTGGAGGTAATACAAAGGTGCTTGTCTGGATGGGAATGAGGAAGATGGGGCCCAACCTTGAAGGGAGAATCACAGGGGAACAGAAATCCCCCCTGGACTAGGAAAGGGAATTGGGAAGGTATGGAAAGATTCTCAAGAGGAGATGTCACAGCCAGCCATCCCTGGACCCTGCCTCCACATACTTGTAAAATTCTTCTCCAGAAACCCAGCATCCTCCTCTCGTAGCTTCTGTGCCCAATTCACCTGCTGGGCTATAGCCAATGGACTGGCCTAGGTTTTCAATCTCAGCACTGAGGGCCACCTGATTGGGAAGATGTATGTTAGAGGGGATAAGATGAGTCTGGGAAGCTTTTTTTTACATAATTTATTTAAATTTATTTTATGTACATTGGTGTGAAGGTGTCAGATCCCCTGGAACTGGAGTTCCAGGTAGTTGTGAGCTGTCATGTGGGTGCTGGGAATTGAACTCAGGACCTCTGGAAGAACAGCCAGAGCTCCAGAGTGCTGAGCCATCTCTCCAGTCCCGAGTCTGGGAGGCTTTAATCCGTCCTCTGCTGTGAACAGGCTCGCAGTCTCTTTGGACTCCCTTTCTCGTTCTTGTCCCTCCCTGTCTCTGATTGCACTGCCCTTGAACTTTGTGACCTACACTGATTAGGAATGGAGCAGGTATAGTAGGATCAATTTCAAAACTCCAAGAGAACTGTGTCCTCTGAGTTCTTTACAGCTGGAATCCATCTTATTTCCCACTCAGTTAGGGAGGACGTTCTAGAAAGACCTGGGGAGCAATGCTCACAACAATCCTCCTAGAGGATCATCAGGGATGATCTTGGGGACTGGTCCCTTTTGCAAAGCAATGGTTCTGACCCTTGGCTACGTGCTGGAATCACCTTGGAAATTTTAGAAGGTTCTAATGTTTCAGCCCTACCACCCAGAGCTTCTGATCTAATTGGTCTAGGATGTGTGGCCTGAGATTTCGGCTGTTTAATGGCTCTCTGGAGTATTTAATATGCAGCAGCTTGAGAACCACTGTTCTAGAGAGTTCTTTCCTGCTCATTTTTGGGAGGGTTTATTTTGGGTATGCTGGAGAGGGAGGACAAGTGAGTGAGCCATGTGTTCATCCTTCCTCCCTATCACCCAGTACAGCTTGCTTACCCTCTCCTCTTCCAGATCTTGTCGCATGTGTGCCTGCTCCTTCTCATCCAGAACCCGATTCCCATCCTGATCAAACTTGGTGAAGGCAGCCGTGAGCTCAGATATCTCATGCTCTGCACGCCCCAGTCTAAGGAGAACAAGGCGGTGAAGTAACCATAATCACTCAAGCATGGCCTCCCCACTGTGATCACTCAGATATGGTCTCCCTGCCCTTTTACTAGACTCTTGTAAGAGTCTTGATCTCTGGGTCTTGCTTTCTGGGGAAGAAGAGGGTCACACAGGAAAGCCAAGATCTTCAGAGTCTAGTGATTCTACCCCCAACAAGTTCTTTCACTTGTTCTTCATGTCCTGACTCTTGCTGGCGAGGTTAGGCCCTCAGGATCTCACACAGAGATTATCACGTCTTTGCTCCTAGATAGCCTGCTGCCACCCCCACAGCTCTAGCTTCCCTTACACTCTCTACTCCTGAAATTCATCCTCCATAAAGAGAATAACTGACATTTTAAAATGCCGGTTTAATGCCTGAGCATGGTGGAAGATGTCTGTAAGTCTTAGGTACTTGGAAGGCAGGGGCTAGAGGAAGAATCAAGTCAAGTTCAAGGTGAACTTGGGTACTAAAGTGAGACCAAACTCCAAAGTAATAAAATGTAATAGAAAACGCACATCTAAGAGCACCAATTCCTTGCTTTAAAGTCCCTCCTGGGCACCCTATTCCTCGGATACAGTGGTGATGTTGAAGGTCTTTCCCAACATGGCCTTTGGCCATGGCCTCGATTCCCCTATAACTCACCATTCATTTGATATCTTAGCGGTGCTCAGCTATCACACTGGCCTTCCTCTGCTTGTCCATGTGTAAGCTAGGCATTCTTTAAAATCCTTTTCAGTCATCACCTCTTCCTGGAAGCCTTCCTTTAATCTCAAAGGGGATTGATAGCTCTTTTTACTCCATGCCTCCCTCTCTTTAAGTCACTACTGTTCTTGAACTTAGTCTGTCTTGGCTTATTTGCTTACATGCCTTTGAGCTCCTAAGAGACAAAGATTTTTGCCTCATTTAATTGTGTCATCCCCTACTCAAGCCTGATCCACAGATGGTCCTCACAATATATTTGCCCAACAATTTGGGTGGGGTGTATATAATAATAGGATAATTATACTGTTACATTAGGTGTAAAAGTTGTTCAATAAGGTCCAGAATATATATAAGATCATGGTCAGAGATCTGGAAAGCAAGGTCATAATTCTGAAAGTCAGGATTAGAAAGACTCATGAGTCAAGGTCAGGAGCCATAAGTCAAGACCACAGGCCCAGAGATCAAGGCTTATCAGCAAAAGATGTGTAGCTGAGGGTCACAAACTAGACTAATTTCAAATAAGGTTGGATCTCCAGTTGCTCACTCCCTCAAAGTGTTGGTGAAATCTTCAAACTGGATCTCCGGTTCCCCACCCTTCAGGACCTTCTGCACATCTGAAACCTGTTCCTTCCTCAGGCGCAGCCTCAGTAGGGTCTTCTTGTAGCTCTGAAAGGGAAAGGGAGCAGGCAGGAGTCCCCACATGGTCCTCACGGCCATCGGCCCTCCACCTCCACCTAAAAAATCTCAAGCCCCCAAGAGCAAGTCAAAGGCTCTCAAGAGCACAGACACCTGCCTGCACCAGGCAAGAACACACTACCATGGCGCAGCACCTTGGAGCCAAACCCAGAGGGAGGCATGCTCCTCAAAGACACTGAGGAGTCACCTGTTTCAGGAGGTCAGAAAGCTGTAACTCATCCTTCTGGCCAGCCAGCTCCTCCTTGACCTCTGAGTATGTGTCATTGATGATGGCCAGGAACATGTTCTAAAGGAAAAAGTATGGACATGGGATTTTTGAAGCAGGATCTTTCTGTGTAGGCCTGGCTGTCCTAGAACTCACTCCGTAGACCAGTGTGGCCTTAACCCACAGAGATCTGCCTGCCTCTGCCTCCCCTGCTGGGATTAAAGGTGTGCACCACCATGCCTGGCTTGTAACCCAGGTTTTCACCTTCAACCCCATTAAAAGGACTGAGCCTTCTTACTCTATGTCCCCCACACATGTTTAAAAAAACAAAACAAAACAAACTAACAAAAAAACCAATGCTCTCAATCTCAGCACTGCAGTCCACCCATACCTGCCTCTCAAGAGCCTGAAAGTCCACCCTTTGGCACATTTCTGTCAAGGACAGATTATGTTCCTTCATCTGCTTGAGGTTCATTCTCAGATGCCGCAGTGACCTTGCTAAACACCAAGATATCCCAACATATGTCATAGACCTCCCCTACACAAGGGCCCACCAATCACTGAAGTCGTCATTTTTCAATGTGAAAGTACAAATGTGCTCTCTTCTTTACCATCGAGCCCAATCCCATGCCTGTGTCCCCATCAGTTAATCAAATAAGGATACTTTCCTTTTATATTAATAAAAACCACACTCAGGGACTTGGAGAGGTGGCTTGGCACTTTAGAGCACTTGTTGCTCTTACAGATGACCATAGTTCAGTTCCCAGCACCCATGCCATAGCTCAAAGCCATTTGGAACTCCAAATCTAGGGAGCTCAACTCTTTTTTTTTAACCTCTGCAGGCACCAGGCACACACATGCTGCATATGCATACATCATACATATAAGCAAAACAATACACATAAAATAAATACATCTAAAAAATAAATCTCAGCTATTTCCCCATTGGCAAGAGAGAACTACAAGCAAATGCTGGCAATAGAAACCATCATGAACGCCACAGAGGAAAGGGCCTCTTGGAGAACAGGCACAGAGGCTTCTAGAGGTCTCTCCTGCTCTTCACGAGGCATTTCCTCACACCCTTTCTATCCTTGGAAGATGAGAAGTCGATTTTCCCAGGAGAATTCACAGTTTCCTTTATGTCCCTCACACTACCTGGCCATCTGGTGTCACTGTCACCTTAACCAGCTCTCAGAAATCCCAAAAGAACTCCACCTCCACACACTTCCCCCCATGCTGTGAGAAACCAGTTATAATCCTAAGTGGGAGGCCTGTGGGGTCAAGCCCACTTGGAGGCCCTCTAGGCCCCCAGCCCTCAGAAGGACCCTCACCAGGAGCACGAAGAAGACGAAGAAGACATAGGTGACGAAGTACACAGGACCCAGGACTCGGTTGGCATTGTTGATGGCATTGTAGTCAAAATCCCCAAGGATTATCCGGAACTGAGTGAAACTGAGAGATCAGATCAGGGCTTCACCCAGAGCCTAGACAAACATTTGCCCCAATTCATACCCCATCCCACTTTCCCAACCACAAACAGACCCCTCACTGCACCTAACGCAATAAATGCGATATCATAGACACAGATGACCTGTAAATGATTTGAGCACAAACCTGAACTTTAGGGCACTCTCAGAAACTTTAAGCATCAACACGCCCCTACACATGTCCCTCTTCCCCAAGGTTGCACACACCCTGGGAGCTGGAGAGAGAGGGGCCCAGGGGTGGGGGGAGGGGGGGCAGGACACACACATGCAGTTGACGAAAGTGCTAAAGTTCTCCACTTGGGTCCCAAAAATCAGGTAGCCAAGCTGGGCATAGGCGAAGAAGACAATGAAGAACATGACAGCAAAGCCCAGGATGTCCTTGGCACAGCGAGCCAGTGTGGAGGAGAGCTGGGTCATGGTCTTGTTGAAGCTGATGTACTTGAAGATCTGCAAGGGTCATGGCGAAACAAGAGAAAAGGTGAAAAGCACGGAACACTCCAGGGACCGATGGAGGTACCAGATCAGACCAGAAAAACGAGACCCACATGGAGGAAGGTAAGTGACAGCCTTGGGGCAGAGGTGGGAGGCAAGTCCCGGGTACCTTGATCCAGGCAAAGAAAACGTTGACAGCATTCATATTGTTGTACTGTGTCTGCCAGAAGGCCAGGAACTCGAAGTCTGCGTAAGTGTCTGGCTGCTGCAGGAGCTCTCCCATCAGTCGGTTGACTTCCAAGGTTCGGAATATGTGGAACCCCACAGCCACGATGGAGAGCTGTCACACAGGAGGCATGGGGGGTGTCAGAGAAGTCAAAGGGACCTTAAGGGAAGTTCAAAGATGAGCTCCCAGAGGAGAGCCGGGGCAAGAAACAGTCTCTGCTGAGATGTTCACTAACTGAGGTCCAGATGGAATAGCGTGGGTGACCAGGGAGCAGCTTAAATTCCCTACAGCCCAAGAGAGGGCTTTGGGGCCATAGGAAACAGGAAGGTTGTGAAGAACTACGGGGAGGGGGGGAGTGGTGCTGAGGAATATGATGTCTCCGCACCCCCATCACTCCCAAGCCTTGGTCAAAAGAAATAAATGTGGGCCAGTGTGGTATTTTAATTGTGCTGAAATGTGATTTTATTTGTATGTTAATAAATAAAGTTTGCCTGGAGATCAGAGGTCACATAGCAAGGTCTCATAGCCATAAACAGGAGTCAGGCAGCGATAGTAGCACAGGCCCTTGGTCCGATTGCATGGCAGGCAGAGTCTCTGTGTGGTCAAGGACACAGTCAAGCATGATGACATGAGCCTTTAATCCCAGTGCCAACCATAGAGACCTGGAGGTCTGTATAGACAGGCAGTGACAAGGAAGTTATGTGGCTCGGCTTAGAGCCAATAACAAGACAGAACAGAAAGGCAATGAAAACACAAGTTAGATGGGAAGAAACTCTCTGGGGAAGCAACGGCAGCGAGGTGGTAAGATAAGGTAGCTGTGGCTCTTCGCTAGTTCTCTGATCTCTTTGGCTATTGCCTCTGTGTGTGGCTCTGTGTTTCTTATTTGATGGGACTGTTTAGAAATTCATCTACAGGCCAGTGAGATGGCTCAGCAGGTAAAGATACTTCCTGCCAAGCCTGGCCACCTGAGTTTGTTTGATCTAGGGGACCCACATGGTGGAAGGAGAGAACCAACTCTTATAAGGTGTCCTCTGACTTCTACAAACACACTGTTGCACGTGTACATGCGTATACAGGCACACTCGCACACACAGGCACACATGCACACACATGCACACAAATAAATGTAAAAATAAAACAACAAAACAAATGTGTCTTGTTAGCAGGAAGGAGATGACAAAGAAGGGCCAGAGTATTCAAATATAAAAGAGCAACAGTAGGGTTCTCAAAAGGTCAGGTCATAAAACAAAAGGCAGGAGAGATTCGGAAAAGATTTGCATAAAGGAAAAAGGAGGACCCATTCATGGGTGGGGAGGAGGGGAGATGTGCAGGGCAAGTTTTCCCAAAGTCTGAGCCAGGGAGCATCAACCTTTCTCTCGGGGAGACTTGGCACAGTGCTTCTACCAAGTCCAAAGGAGGGCTTGAGTCCCCAAAGGGAAGAACTTGGACTCCCTATCAAAGCAGAGGTCTCTCTCCCCACTCCAGTACATCTCAAGTCCCTCACCAAGATGATCAGCAGGTCCAGAATGTTCCAGATGCTGCTGAAGTAGTGAAGCCGGTGCAGGTGGATTTCCAGGATTTCCTCCACCACGTAGTAGAAGATGAAGACACAGAAGATGACCTCACAGCCCACGATGAAGAAGTCCCAGTTACTCACGTAGCGGATCAGCTTAACTGTGCGGATTTGCCAGGATGGGATGGCCCCTCCTGTGGCTGGGAACTCTACCACCAGTCTGTGAGGAAGGTGAGATGGCCAATGGGGACCGGGCTGGGACAGTTCCTCCTGTTTCCCTGGCTCTTCACGCCCACCACAGGGTACCGGGTCGGGAAAGGTCTCGAGCGCATCAGATGGACCAGGAACCGTGGACAGAGAGGTACAGTGGGGGAAGGGTGCTTACCTCAGAATACAGAAAAGGTTGATGTTGGCATTGTAGACAGAGAAGTCGATGAAGACCACCCGAGTGCCCCTGTCTAGCCACAGCCCCTCCTGAAGGTCTTGGAGGGCCTCTGCACTGGCTTGTCGGGATCCTGGAAGGTCCAAGTAGTAGCCACCCCCACTGTAGCTTGTAAGCCTGGCCCAGTGGGAGGAGCCCCCCAGCTCACTCTGTGAATGGTATGTCCACCTGCAGAAGAGAAAAGGCCATCTCTGCAAAGAGGTCAGAACCAGGCTAAACACTCAGCCCCAAGGCAATTCTGAATGCCTGGCTTCACAGTTCCACATGCATTATGTATCTATATATACTTACTGCACTATACATGTATATGTGTGCATGTATTATATGTGATACATACATAACTTTGAGAAACATGTCTTATACACCTTGTATGTAATGTCACATATAGTGCACATAATATCACACACAACAGATGCTTCACATATATCATTTTGTTTGCTACTAACAGTTGTTTGGAAAGAGAGGGAAAATAATGCCCATATTTTGCAGTAGAGGAAATGGAGATTCAGAGAATCCCAAGATAGCTAGCTATCCAGTGATATCCCTGAAACTCAATTGTAAGTGTCTCCCTTTTTTCACTAGGTAAAATGCACTATTGGGCCCAGGCTGTGTAGTGTACGTGAAGGAAACACTTGGGCCATAAATCCAGAAATGGTTTTCTAGTTCCCGTGGTTCTATAGCTGGCTGGCCAGGCCCAGGATTCCTTATTCTAGCCCCCCCCCCCATTTCTCTCCTGCTTACTCCTT